TTAAAACATATAAGAATCTGTCTAGACTTACACTGAGATTATTTTTGTTGGCACTGGAAAAAGAGTGACTGGTAAAGTTCTTCAATTCTCTCTTTTCCCTGAAACTTTCAGTGCCATCTCCCATGCCATCTGAGGATTCAAAAAGGGGATCAAGCGGGGGGGGGGGGAACTTCTCTGTACCCTTCTACCACTGGGAAACCTCCATTGGAAGGTTCTGTTTATTCACTGGTCCCTTGCAAATAAAAGAATCCCTCCATAATTTATTATTTGAGAAAGGCAATAAGTATGGCACCTTTGTAAACCAGTCTAAAAATATGGGCCAGAAGTTACAAGATAACCAGTTCCTGCAGCAAACTCTGTGGCTTGCCAAAGAAAAGGCTGCATATACATGTACATTACATTATCAGCCTCATCTGCTGATAGTAAAGTCACCCCTCATCCCAAAGTAATTAATAAAAGATTTTAGAGCGCTAAGCCAACTTCAGAAATCCACCATGCAAGAAAATATATAAACGTTGACAACTGCCGACTGAAGTAACATTATGGAGATTACTCAGAACAGACACAAATATTTAAACTGCTTACATTAAAAAAACAAACAAACAGCCAAGAAGGCCACACAGCTCTAGAGTGAGATGATTCCGTTTCTGAATAAAAACAAAAAAGAAATAAGTAAGAAAACTCATCCCGTTAGCCTGGGATATCATCTAGCTTTTAAAGATTTCAGTGTTAAAATTATTTTGAGATAATGCAAATCTACTTTAGGGAATTTGCAGAATGGAACAGGAATAAAATGTTCTAGAAAACCACACAGAACATCCCATTAACATTACATTTGGTTAAGTAATGAATAGGGCGCCTGAGTCCCATCCAGCGATTATCCAGAAGGATTGATACGTTACAAATAAAATGCCATCTGTCAGAGGGAAGGGCAAATATGTTAAAGGATTTACTGGCTATTGGAAATTTATAAGGATGTAGAGATCTACTGTGAAAAATGAAGGCAGCGGATGGTCTTCAGATGTGAACTGCTCCATGGAAGGAATATTTGCTCAGGATGTTGTTTTGTTCAGACTCTGCAGAGTTATACCTACAGTTAAAGAATTGGCTGCCTTCTGATTTTAGGTGCTGAGTAAATTATGAGTGATTAATTGTTTATGCTTGAAATTTTATTGCAAGGGATAAAAATAAATACTACTGATATTTTAGGCCCTATGTTCCAAAATAACTTGACTTGCTCTAGGTGCACTGCAACAGATGCTCTGCTTCAGCAGCAATATGTCTTGGAGCAACTCTGATGCTCTGTGACAGTAGTTGAATAGCGTTTAACTTTTATGCAACTCTATGTTGCTAAGATTCCACATCCATCACTGTTTTGTCTTGCAAACTTACCACATAACAAAGTATTTTTTAATACTTCCATGTTCACAAAATGTTCACTGTGCTATATTATTATGAGTGCATTAAAAGGATTAACCATACAAGCTAGATATGAGTGCCTTTAGAATAGGGGTGCAGAGGGCACCCACTTGGTCTTTAAGTAGTGTGTCTGTCACATTACTTCAAAAAACTGTTAGCCCAGGACAAAAGTTAAATTACTTTGAATTAATGTATATTGAAGTTTAATTTCAAATTAAATAATTACTATTAGTGTCCAGTCATATACATATAATTGTGTTCTCCTTCTGACACATTAAAAATTACAGTGTGATAGCAATGTTTTAAGATTTCTAGGAACCAAATCCAAGGCTTTTGAGGGCTTCAGACTGTACACTGAGAAAGAGAGAGAAAGAGACTGACTTCTGCATGGAAAATAAACTCCATTTTTAAAATTAATTGATATAAAGTATCACCACTGTATGCGAAGAAGGAGCATATGCTTAGCAGGAGACAAGTGAACACTTCTAAGTACTGTTGGGAGCTCTGGATCAGTATCTATGTGCATAGGGTGGAGGGAGAGAATGTATATTGTTTTTCCAAATTTTCTGATTTTTGTTATGAAAGTGATATTGTATTTTTTGTATTTTAACATTTACCTATCTAGTCTAGAATGAAGTTCAGTAATAACCAAAGTAAAATTGGTGATGATTTGAAAAATCTTCTAAAAGTAGAAATCAAGCACCCAAAATTAATTTTGAAATAAACAAGATGGTACTAACACTCAGGTTTTAGGTCTATCAGCCATATGCCCAAAAAAATTTTTTTTTGAAATAACATTCATAGGCAGCTTGGAATTAATAAAATAAAATATTCAAAATGAGTTCTCTTCCTCCATCTTCATAATCTCTCCTAACTTTCCCTATTGTAGCCTCTTTATTCTTTGCCATTCTTTTCTGGTACTTTCACAGAGCCAATATTGGCTTTAAGCCCAGGGCTTATTTTGTGCCAGATGTATTCCATAATCATGTTTGAAAATGGCAACTGGATTGTAGAGTGATGGCAGAGATTAGTCTGGGACTTTCCAGTAAATCTTAGGCTGTTTCCCCAGTTCAAACATCCCTCTCTCTTTCCTTTTTTTTTTTTTTTGGAGTCAATTCTCCTTTTTGAACCATTAGTTCTTTGGTTTATAACTTCGAATTGCAATGTTTAAGCTTTAATATCTTGAGCATTATAATGACATTTCAGTTTAACATAATGATCTATGTGAATTATAGTGGTTCACAGATCTGTTTGTAATGAGATCATATAAGTCACAAAATATAACCTCCCAGATTCCCCATGAATAACTAAGAACTAAAAAAAGTTATGTGGCTGACAAAGTCCAAAAATAGTATTTGTTTAAGAACTTCCTGAATGTTCTATCTAGAATGAAGTCATCAAAGAATGAGAAGAAAGTATGCAAATATACTTTCAATGTCAAGGCTTTGATTGGAGAAGGAAAAGTCTACTACATATGAAGAAAAAGACCAAATCTTGAGCAAAAGTTCCATTTCCAAAGAGAAGCATGTTATATAGTACTCAAACGCCCATAAAAACTGAATATATTTCCACAAAATTTTCAAACTAACAAACTACCTGACTGTTGATATTGCTTAGGAAAAGGTAGAAAGCTAAGGCATCTCTTTTGACAAGGTAATTACTTTGGGAGACAAGTTGAAGGCTGTAGATATAATCTGATTTCAGCAATGTAATGTTCTCATTGGCAAGCTATTAAAGGATGGTTTCAGTGACATATGCTAGGGTAGGTCCACAACCAGCTGGCTAACCACGTTCAAGAGAGTCAACATTGATGACTCTATGTTGAGTTGGAAATCAGCAGCCAGTAGGATAACTCATGGATCTATATGTAGCCAGTATTATTCAACATTTTTATTAATGACCTGGATAATGAGGTTGATGGCCTGCTTATCAAAACTGTGGATGACATAAAATTGGGAGGTCTATAAAACACCCAGAATGACAGAATGAGTTTGCAAGGAAAAATATGTCCTTCAACAATATGAGAGGAAAAATACATCCTTCAACAGGAAGAAATATAAGGTATTATATTTAGGGAGGAAAAATGTAGGACACACATGCAAGATAGGACATTCATGGCTTGGAGACACTTTTGGAGAATGATTTGGTTGTGGTCACTGACAACAAGCTGAACATGAGTCAGCTATTATAAAGGCTAATTCAGTTCCAGGCTGCAGTAGAACAAGCATTATATCAAAAAGGTATGAAGTCCTTATTCCTCTCTACTCTGCACTAGTGAGACCACTTCTAAAGTACTGTGTACAGTTCTGGAAACTACATTTCCAGAAGGATATTGACAGATTAGACCATATCAGGGAAGGGTGACAAAGATAATACAGGGGCATAAGGATGTGTCCTATGAGGGCAGACTAAAGGAACTATGAGAGATGTTCAGTCTGGAAAAAAAATGAACAAGGGGAGATATGATATCAGTGTTCAGATACATCAAAAGGTATGCTACAGAGTGCTACAGGGAAGTTGGTCAGGATCTATTTTCCACAGAAACTAGGACAAAAAATAATGGTATGAGATGCAGCTACATAGATTTCTCTTAAATATAATGAAAAACGTCCTGATGCTAAGACCATCTCTGAAGATTTTTAAGCTACCTCCCAGGAATGTTTTAACTGGTTCTCCTGCACACTGCAGAGTTTTGGACTAGATGTTTTTTGTGGTTCCTTCTAACTCTACAATTCTGTGAATCTGTGAAGTTGGACAACAACAGTCTACTGAGAGTAACTTATGTATTTAAAAGCTCATTAATCTAAGCTTTTCCCATCATATGTGCCTATTAAAGTCTGATTTAGGAAAGTGCTTTTGATCAAGGGATGTTAACCTCCATGTTATAAATTCTTAACTGCAAAGTCCACTTCAATAAGAAGACAATTTGCTTTAAAGCCAATATGTAAGAATAAAAACTACAAAACTCATTTCCTGTAGAGGGCCAACCTATATATAATGAAATAGAGAGTATCAAAAACGTTTACTCGTGCATTTAAAAATCAACCTTCACATAAAAAGATAGCTTGTCATCATGATTCAGATTCTGTTTTCCAAAGCCTGTGTGTTTTAATTAGAGGCATGTATTTTAATCTTCATATTTGTCTTACGCTCCTTTAAGTTTGGAAGAATACAATAGAACTGAATTACAATTTTATTCTATTAAGTAAGAAGAAATCTAATTAACTTTATACAAAATCTTAATGTGTTAACGTTAACATTAAGCCTTTGTTTCTAAAAATCAATAAATGGATCAATTGTATGAAGATAAAAATATATTACCTCCCACTTCAACCTCTTATTTTAATAATGTCTCTTAAATTGGCCATTTGGGGAACTTTCCAAAATGGAGTGCCCCATTAATTCCTCAAAAACATTACAGGATGGTGATAATTATTTTTGTCCAAAATTTTAACTCCTATTAACAGATTTCTAAAGACATTTTTTATAACACAATGTCTAGTACATGGAGCAAAACAGAGTTTTTGTTTATGATAAATGCATAGTTAATAATTAAATTTTAAAGGCATTTTTTAAATTACCTGGGTCCCAACTGTCTCCTGGAAACATCGTCCAAGTTGTGTTTTAGCAGAAACAGGAAACGTATGAGTGATAGGCTGCTGATGAATGTAGGTCGAATGAATCTTCTGGGTCTTCTGAAATGGCAGGCTTTGATAAGGACCCTGGGAATGTCCCGATGTGGGGGGCTTTGGTTTTGGTTTTTGTCCTGCTGATGTGCTGTCAATCCTTGAAACTTGATGAAACTGCACAGAAGCTTCAGGTGGATGTTTAACATGGATATTTACAATGTTAGGAGGAATTTTTACTGCAAAAGTAAGAAATCAAGCATTAAAAATCTCCAAACAAGAGAAGGCATTGCTTAACTTGGAAATTATATATTGATTTTCATAGCAGCATTTTAAATACTTTAAATTTTGCAAAAGACTGCTAGATTATAAAAAGTACAGGACAATAAGTTAGTAGCACACATGCATGTGCAATCTTTCTCCTTTCCTAGAGAGAAGGAAGGCTCCTCATGATTTAGAATCCATGATTATGATTCAGTGCACCCAAACTTACCAGGATCATTAGCCAATTTTAAATCAAATCTTTTGATTTAAATATCGGTTTGAGTATACCTAGACATGAACTCTAGCTCAGATAACATGTGAACCATGTACAGAACGGGAGGAGAAAAGATATACAAAATGATTGCCAATTTTGGCTACCCCATTTTTTGGCATATGACCCACGAATATGATTATTGAATTTTGGATCAAAATACCATCTAATATAGATTATAGGCAGAATTATAGCTGAGAAAAAAAATTGTCTAAAAAAGTAAAAAATTGCTCATCAAATTATTTTTGAAATACTCAAGATTTTCTTGCATATAAAAATTTCCAACACTTAGCAAAGGACTGAACTAGTAATTCAACATTTAATGTGGAATTAAATATTTACAACATCTATTTTTTTCAGACATTTTAAGGAATTTAAGACCAGTTTGACATTTCATAGGGGAACTATTTAAAAGAAATCTGTCAAGACAAAAACCAGTGCCCAATGATGTTGTAGTCCAGATCTTGAAATCTAACGTGAAAAGTAAATCTGTGGCTTTGAAATATATTGATAAAGTTAAAGGGTTTGATTGATTCTAAGGCCAACTGAAAAGGCTGAACACATGAGTTCCATCAAATTAGAATAAACAGAGTTGATACAAAGTGTATGCATGAAAACCACAAGCTCAGAAATATACTGTATACTATATTACTATTTCAGAGAGGTCATGGCAGTTGTACATGGTAGCATACCTGAAAATCAACCTCACTGAAATAAAAAACTGCGGCTGCACCCACCCTTTGGAACATCACTGATGGCCTTCCGGAAGGGTCTGAAGACCTGCCTTTGCCATATGGCCTGGGGATGAGAGGGTGGCGTGGAGACCATAAAATGGCTCTACTGTGCTTAAATGGGGATTGTACTGTATGCCTTTAATTGTTTAATTGTTTTTAACATATGTATAATTTGTATGGCTGTTTTATTTTTTTGATATTCTTTTTTTTGGTACTGGTTATGTTTTAATTGCAAGCTGCCCAAAGTCACGAATATGAGATGAGTGGTTATATAAATTGAATGAATGAATGAATGAATACATACATAACAGTGCTGCTTCAACGATAGGCCTGTTGATAACTATTAGGTATACTAGATAAATCAAATTAACTCATTATGAAACTATTTATATATGTCCACATTTTGCTCATGAGTTATTTACAGTCATCTAACTGGCTGATACTGAAAATGGAATTGTGTGGTACATGGTTATTTAATCTTATCAAGTGAGTTTCTTTTTGCTTTTTTTAATCAATGTCTTATTCTCAGTGTCATTATGCTCTGTATACAATACTTAAACAGAACTTGTTAAATTGCATGCATAAATTGAACTTTAACTACAGCATAAGAATTTCCCATCAGTCATTGTCAAATAGATCACCCTGGGTTTCTTTTAGAGGAAGAATAGCATATAAGCAGCATCAGTAAATAATCCTAGCTTCTTTAATAAAAAGAAAACTATTAATATGATCTGAAAAGAAAACAGAGGAACAAATAATCAGATTCAGGATAAATTAGGGGTGTGGGAGAGAACATTAATGGGGGAAGGGTATTCCCTCAAACTGTCCAAGCACCTTGTCCACAGAGTGGTGATTGTTGAAAGAAACTGAAAGCCAACTTGGGGTGGGGGGGATGCAAACAAGTGCCTAGAATATCTGGACAAAAGAAAAGAAAAATGAAAGTGTTTGGTGAAAAGTGGTAATAACTTCAATATTCACAGGGAAATAAAAATTATTTTACTCAATTACAGCTGACTCATCATTGCATACTGAGTGAAAAGTTCTCAAGATCATATTGTTGTTTGTTTCAGATTTACCTATCCCAACAGCATCAAAGCAATCAGCAGAAGACTATAATTTGAGTTGCCTTTTGATTTTTCACAGGACCATCCAACAACATTCAATCAGTTTGAAATTATCAAAGCAGCTATCCAATGCTTTCATATATAGTCCCTTTTCTCAAATGCACTTCTAGACTGCTGTCTGACCACACACATATGAAAAAGGTAAGGAACATCCAACAGGCGTTGAAGGGTAAGTCAATTTCATTTGGAAATCTAAGTATGATTTTCAAATGAAATTGACTTATCTTTCAAAGCTAAAAAAAAAAATCAGTTAATTTTCACTAACAAATTTCTTATGATTAGATGAATGCAAGAAAGAGCATCCTGTCATTCCAGTAGGGTTTGAATGCCAGCTCAAAGCTATGTGGGGAGACATTAGCACTGTCTCTGATAGCGTGGCAGCTCAAATTAAAAAGTCTCACTGCAGCCATCAAAGAAATCTAGCTAGAGAGAGGAGAAAGAAAAAACATTTACCTTTGGCTCCTTGCTGCCCAGGCACAGTCAGCGGTAAAGTATGTGTGGAATGGATGACATGTGATCCCACCATCTTGCTTGCTTGTTGCGAATTATGATAAAGTTGTGAAGTACTGCCACTCTGCACGGGGATCTGACAAAGTTTACCAGTGTAATTAGGAGGGCATTGGCACTTGTCTCTCGAACTGCACTGCCCGCCATTCATGCAAGGAAGGTGGCAAATAACTGAAGGGGGAAAAATCCCAGAGAGATTGGTATTAATATCTTTTCAGAAGCATTGCTAATATCATTACCAACTTAATTACCTTTTCTGATGAGAAACAGATTTCCTGTGATTTTCATTACTCTAGAGGGTTTTAGTCAGATGCAAAGTAAACCTGCTGAAATCAATGGGACATTTCCAGTTGGTCTACTCTAATTATAACTAAGCTTAGATTCAACCCAATGATAAATATGCAACACACCATCTGAATACAATGGCATTATGTAGTGGAAGACTAAGGTTTGCAGTCTGTGATATAGGCAAGAAAACTGAAATGAGATAATTATATGTATTGTCAAAGGCTTTCACGGC